GAAGTAGCTGGTACTGAAGGCACTCACCACTGTGCTAGGCTCTGAAATGTTTTGAGCATCACATTGGTTCAGATTAGGGATATTCAACCTGTACTACAGTCTTCACTTCTTTGTCTTTAACTTGATAGTATGATTCGCCTGCTATTTAAACTAAGAATTGTGAGAGTAACATTTTCAATGAATCTGGCAATAGTTAACACAGCAAACTTTAGTTCCAATTTAAAATCAATAATGTGGAGTCACAGGTGGTAGCACACAGCTCTATAATCTTAGTGCTCAGGAGGTGGAAGCAGAAGGACTGAGAAGGACTGCAAGCTAAGCTACACTGCTAGATCTTTTCTCAAAAAAAAAAAGCGATAGTTTGGAAACAGATCAGAAAAAAAAGGAAAAGAACATAGGATATCTGAGGGAACAGGAATTAAAATAGAAAAAGAAGGAGATCTGAAGTGAGAGAAAAAAGAAAAGGGAAAAAAATGGGAATATGAGAAGGATATCATAAAGGAAGGAAGAAAGAAGCAAAAAGAGGATAAAAGAAATACAGAAACAGAGGCAGGTCCTCCACACAGTGGGGAACACAACCACTTGAGCCAACAAATCCCTATCTAAAACCATGAGCCCTTCTCACTTACAGCTACCCATCAGAGTTAGGATCAGTAATGAGAGCAAGTCAAGGGCCAGCAAGACCCCATCTTGCTAAAGATCTATAACTAGCCAAACACTTTTCTTACTAAATACTCCACAACAAACAATCATCATAATGTGTGCTTTCATTTTTATAGAACCCATTTAATTAGCCTTCATTAATACCACATAATTATCATTTGATACAGATGATCAGACACAATGATAAGTATTAAATTTCTTTAACCAGACATTCCTGTGCTTTGCTTAAACATTTTAAAAAGAAAATTGGTGCTCTGAGGATAAAATACCCACCTTGTCTACCCCCTTCATGACAATCAAATGAGATCATGGAAGTAGAACTGTCTCATAACTGCTTTCTTTGTTTTTGTGTGTGTGTGTGTGTGTGTGTGTGTGTGTGTGTGTGTGTGTAATGGGCGGCTTCACACATCATGGTAGGCAACCATACCATCACTGAACTACATCTTCAGCACCATGATTTTTTTTCTTGGGGGGGATGGATTCAGATAGAGTCTCACTATATAGCTGACACAGAACTCACCATATAGGCCAGGCTGGTTTGAACTTGCAATCCTCCCACCTCAGCTTCCCAAGTACTAGGATTTTACAGGTGTGTAACACCACACATGTCTTGAAATTTTGCATAAAATACAAGGTAGTATAACTGGTTCTCCACTTCCATTAGAAGTCTAGGGTTGAGAGGTTGTTAAAGACAAATGATAACAACTATCTGGTCCAACTATGAGTGCCCATTATTGAAATCTAAAATCATCTTCACCAGCACCAAATCCAGAACTCTTTCTCGTCATCAGTGTCGGCTAAGGAAAGAAGGGTTCAATCAATAGTGCAGGGCACTTCTCTGCAGCACCTCCTCTTATTCTTACAGACATTCAGATAGCAGGAGATTGCTCACCTTCTTACACACTAAATTCACTCTATTTTTCTTACTTAACTCATTTATTCATAAAAAAAAGATGACTAACAAATTTAAATGCCTTCACAAAACAAATATGATTTGTACTCCTTTTTATTCTAGAAATAATGTCTGACCCATTCCAAATAAGGGCTTTACTCATATCTTTGTTTTAAAATTATCCAACACATATCTGATTTCTCTCTTTAAAAAATGTAAGCAAGGGCTGGCAGTATAGCTCAGTGGTACAGCACTTGCTTAGCATAAGCAAGGCCCTAGGTTCAATCCCCCGCTGTGCAAATCAAAACAACAACAAAAGAATCATAGCATTTATATTTCATACAGTTTTTTTCCCACCTCCACAGACCCAGGATACCACATTTCCCTTACCTCTTTTATTTGAGAACTTCTTAAAAACAACAGCTTTCATTTAATATGTATTACACAGTACATAGTAATTCATTGCAGAAAATCTGTAAATATAAATATGTACTTCCTACACTAAATATTTCTTGTTTATTATCTGTGTTTACTCACCACTAATTTATCTATTAAGCTAAGTAACCTCATCATGTAGAAATTGACAAAGCCTGGCATACCACAAGAAAACAGGTTTCAGAGACGAACCTCAAGTTAAATCATGACTCTTCCACTACTAACCAGATGATTTTGGAGATGTTAGTAGGTGGATACTATCCACCTACATCTACAGGTATTGAATTAAATAGCAAATTATGTGAGGAGTCTGCAATATCACACATGTTCTCGAATGCTAATCTCTTTCTTCCTAGCAAGAAGTCCTTTCTACTGTGTCCTTTCCAGCATTCTCAACATTACTTAAGGTCTCCTCTTCCACAAAACTTGATCTTTCAAAGCATGTTCCTGAATTTTGTCACCTCATAGAGTCTCAGCTATTTTCAGATCTAAGAACTTGCCTCTAGCTTAAACTCTCCTCATTGGCCTTCAGGGTAAGTTGGCAGTAGTGCTCTTTATGTGAGGTAAGTGGCTGAGACATGGTGGTGGGGCAGCTCCATAGAGCTCTCCCCAGGGGACTGGCAGGTAAGGCCAGTCTTGAGCACCAGTCACGAAGCCTGCATGTGTTCAACAGCTGGCTGCACACTCATTAGCTCGTTCTCAAGGCAAGACACAGGCACCTTCACAAATGATTTACATGTCTAAGTAGGCTTCATCCCTGATTAATCTAGATAATTGGCAAAAGTCAGCAGTTAGCTTACAGACCTTCCACTCAGGAAAAGAAAAAGCTATAGTAAATTTTTGCATAGAAAATACTGCCCCATTTATGACTCACAAGCACTCAGGAAAATAAAAAGCTATAGTAAAATTTTGGATAGAAAATACTGCTCCATTTATGACTCACAAGTATCAAATTACAGAAACTAAGGGAAAAAAAATCATAATAGGTGGCACTTCATATCCACAGGTCTGTGTTCTCAGATTCAACCAAACGTGGATCAAAAATATCAAAAACTCCCAGTGCGGTGGCATGCTACAGTAGTCACAGCTATGCAGAGGAGTAGCACTTGAGCCTAGGAGTTCAAGGAAACACAGCAAAAAAAAAAAACCTAGAAAGTTCCAAAAAGCAAAACTTATATGCTAATACTACACTGGATAAAGTGATGTGTAGGCAAACCTGCTGCAGCCTCCCACAGATCCTCAGTCTCTCCAGCACTCGTATCTATACTGAACATGTACACTGTTTTTGTCATTATTTCCTAATCAACGTAGTATAACAACTGCTTACATAGCATTTACATTTTATTAGGTATTATAAGTAATACAGAGACGATTTATAGTATAGGGAAAGATGTGTGAAGGCGATATGCAAAGACTATACATCTTACAAAGGACCTGAACATCTGTGTATTTTTGATCCATGGGGTTGAGGATAGAAGGATGTTGGAACCAATACTGTCCCATGGATACTGAGGGATGGCTGTATTTAACGAGGAACATAGTCTGCCTTGTGTGCTCTGGTTTGTTTTTTAAAGAAGACACGTGATTAAGTCTTAATACTGGAATGAAGCATCCCACTTGTCAGTGCTGGGTGGTCAGCTCCTGGAATATGCTCCTACTTTACTCTCCTGAACACTCACGAAGTCTCATGGGATTCATGAGAAAGCCCCAATTTAAGATCACACTAGAACAGATTGGAAGTTACTCATCCAGAAAATCTTTCGGAAGCGTTCTAGCTAAATCTTGAGGGGTACAGGCAATTAGAGTCTCCCAAGAGAATAATCACTTAAGAATCCCCTGTGAAGTGTGGGATGTGGAACCAGCACAAGAATTCCCACTGCTTGATACTAATAAGCACTAAGGCCTCGGATCAGGCTGGGACCATGCAGGTTCCTAATTAAAAGTTGGGTCAGCAAAGCCACAAATAACTGTCAAATGGAGACACAACTAAGTGCCCAGATGACAACTGCAACATCTGGATACTGGAGAGTGGTGAAGCAATGCCACAGGAAGTCTCAGTATAAATGCACAGCAATGTCTGTTCTAGGCCCTCTATGTTCATGTCTCCTCCCTTCCCCCCCTGCTCTGCCTCCTCAGCATCCAGTAAAAGAGGGTAATTTAAAAAAAAAAAATGCTTTAGGTATAAAAGGCCCAGGTTTTCTCTACTCAAAGCCTTGTGTCCCACACACACTCACTAAATGTATTGTAATTACATTCTTCTTTTCTCTATTAGAGTAAAAGAAAGCAAATTAAGGGACTGTTTTCTCCATTTCTTCTTTTAATTCCTCTTAGGTGCTTAGCACTTTGGAATGCCTATGCAGTAACAGTTCCTCTTCAGGAGTTATGTGACTTCATTCCTCTTCAGACTTCTCCCATACCTGAATCTTAGATAGATCCCCTCCATCTCCATTAATAAAACAGCCTAGAAGTGTAAGGAGAGTGACCTCCACTTTCCCTCAGATTATGTGGTGGTAAGTGTTCACAACAGAAAATAGCAAAGAAATATGAGTAAAAACATTTGGAGAGAAGCAGACTTGTATTATCAGGCTTAAACAGAGATATTAGGGAATTCTCACACAATTCTTTATATGAGCTATTTAAAGATCAGATGCACTTTGCCACTAAGCCCCTGAATACACCAATCCACAGTGCTCAGCAAAGTCAAACCCAGAGGTACTTTTTCACCCCTCAGATTCCCTGGAAGTACTAACTTATTGCAGCCAGACTTAGAAGCAAGCAAAAGGCATGGAAAAAAAAAAAAAAATCTCCTTGCTGAAAAAAATCATTGCAAGAAAACAGTTGCTCTAGGGTGTTCTGAGGGGCCAACACAAAGTTTTCTTTTAAGAGCACTTTCAGTCTTCCACTTAACATATCACAGTGGGCAAGGCAAATTCTTTCACATCAGCAAGTTTCCAGAGACCTATTCATCCTTCCTGCATCCTTCCCTTCAGGCCTAACATGGTGCCATTACCTGTATAAGTGACTGTTGTCTTCAAAGTCTTCCTGACCCCACTTTCCCTTGATGTCTTCAATAACATGGTTCTTCAGGAATTTTTTTAGCAGCTGAACCGTTTGTTTGCGAGTCACTTCAGGGCCAAAGTTCTGACTGCACCTCAGCAGCTCATGCAACCAGTCCACAGCTTCGGCTGCCGTGAAGCAGCACTCATAACTCTTGAAACGACAACGATGTCTCCGCAATGGCATCCTAGCACGAAAAAGCTCCACTGTTTCATTCCACTGAGGCAAAAAGGAGACAAAGGCATTTAGTACCAGTGGATGTTTTTTAAAGTTATCACATCCCAAATATTTAAAGCAATGAATACAAGTCTTCCATTAAAAAGCTGCACAAAGGCTGGGGATGTAGCACAATGGTAAAGCACTTGCCTACAATGTGTGAGGCTTTGAGTGAGATCCCTATCGCCACTAGATGAATGAATACGTGAATACATAAATAAAAATATTTTTAATTAAAAGCTGTTGGAATAACAGATGGAGCCTTGGAAATTGTTTATTTGCAGTCTTCAAGCCCCAAAGAAAAACTCAGGAGAATGCATGGTGTGATGGCTGCAAAACAGTGAAGGCAGTTCATGCCTCTGAACCATACACTGAGAATAGCTGAATATAATGTTCACTTTATCATGAATGAAGTGAAAATAGAACCTATCTATAGAAATCTAAAGAAAATATAACTTGTCAAGACAGTTCATCATTATCCATTCAAAAAATACTGAGGATATTGCCAGCAACTTGTCCTATTAATGGCTTTTTATATAAATGAAAAACATAATAATAAATAAACTGTTTAAAACTAAGCCCATAAGCCTTTTTAAAGCAAAAAGCGTATTTTTCCTTATTTTCCAAAAGAAAGCTGTTTGAGAGAATAGCTACAGGCATTAATATTAAACCATCTCCTGGTTCCAAAGCACTTCAGGAAGAACACAGAAGTTTAGGTGTGTGTGGCATCTTCAGACACCTCAGGCAAACAGTAGACTGAATAGGCAGAGCCTGGGCTCTGAGGTCCAGTGGTACTGAGTTCTGAGTCTGCACTGCCACTGACCAGTATAGCAAGCCTCAAAACTGTTGCCCATCTCCAGCTGCAAAGCAGTATTACCCACTTAATCAGACTGTTACAAAGACTGGAGAGACTGTCCATGAAGCCCATCGCAGTGCCTGTCCTGTTGTAGGTGCCTAAATAAACTTCAGTCACCATAATGTCATCATTACTGCATTGACTTTCAGGGTGGGCATGGCCATTAGAGCTAAGCAAGAATACTGGGAAGACCCTGGATAATCTCCACTGACCAGGGCTTAGTCCAGTCTATACTGATAAAGACATGGCTTTGGCACACTTAATGTTTTTCTGCAGAACTCTGTATATAAAAGCCCCTGAAGCTCAGAAAATTTAAAATTTCAGAATTTGAAAATCATGAATATTATAAGTGGGAGGTATATGCTGTGCATTATGAGCCTGCCAAGAAACAGTATCCACATACTGATTTGATCCGTTCCAGTCAAACCCAGGGAATAAATGTCCCATTGCTTATATTTTATTCAGGAGTCTTTAGAAAAAACTGTTGTCAGATCAGGTGTATATTGACCCACTGTGATACCCTGCTGGCAATGCTCACAGCACAATGATCCTGACCTTGAACCTAATAACATTAGATCACTTCAGCAAGACAGAATCAATCCCTGAAGAATGGGAGAACATGAGGAAGGGGTCAGACCCAAGTTCAAATCCCAGTTCTGCCTGTCTTTTACTATCTACATAGGATTGGTAAGTATCAACAAAATCCAGATTTGTGCTACCCCGAGATGCCACTGCGGGCATCACATGAGCAGCTATGTCCCGTGACATCTGTAAAGACAAAATTCAGATGTTTCTCTTAGATGTCATTTTCAAATAACTTCATGACAACTCAGTTCCTTCCTCCTTATATACGGATGAAGTTACATCAGTGACAGAAAATCAGAAAGCAGAAAAGCTGCAATAAGGAAGCTATTCATTAGGCTCATACTGAACCTGTATGGACATGGTATTGACATACTCAGCATCCTACCAGCCAGTAAGAAGGGGCAAAGGGAGTAGATACTGGAAGAGAGCAAAGCCAACTACAGCCTTTCCACAGTCCTATGCCATAGACACCCAGGGTACCAAAACCTAAGTCCTGGCATCCCTCAGAATTGTTCCATTCCATCATGGGTTGTTGCCTAGTCATTTCTTCTAAAATATATGAATAAATTATGCCAGTTTTGATCCCCATAGACTAGTATATTCTAAACTTTTCCTCATAATAACCTTTTTTCACAAGCTGCAAAATCCACTCCAAACTATAGCGCCAATAAGTAGTAGAACCAATCTGTACAGATGTTTCTCAACTTACAATGGGTTACATCTCAAAAATCCAAGTGAGTAGATTGATAAGAGAATATATATATGAAAAGTGGGGAGAGGCAGTCAAACTAAATAAGGAATAGGAAAAACAGCCTGTAAAGAGTCCATGAACGTTGACTTAATTTCCCATCTACCCACTTACCTCACAAGATTATTTTGGGTCAAATAAGATCACAGCTATGAAATTCCTTTGTAAAAGATGAAATGTTCCTCAAATATAAGGATAATATATAAAACTCTCAGAATAATCTCTTAAAACAAATTATAAAATTCAATTTACACTACAGCTAGAAAGAATCTTTGGGGCAAAATCAAGTCCCTTGCAGAATATACAATTTGGCAATACACAATAGGATGTGGAATCCTATTCTACAGACTTCTCTCCGAGTGGTCATTTTGGTATACCAAGCACAGATGAACATTAACATAATGTCTTAGTTCATTTTCTGTTGCTATAACAAAATATCTAAGACTGGGAAACTTAAAAAAGAATAGAGGTTTATTCAGCTCATGGTTCTGGAAGCTGGGAAATCTAAAACCATGGTGCCAACAACTGGTGAGGGTCTTCTCACTATATGGTGGACAGCATCACATGCCAACACAGAGCAAGTATGCTAGCTTAGGTCTCACTTCTTACAGAGCCACTAATGCCATTATCCACACCCTGCCCCCTACCCTGCCCCCTACCCTGCCTTCATGACTTGCCTACTTCTAAGTATCTCCCAAAGGCCCACCTCTAAATACTATTAACATGAAAAGGGAGATTAAATTTCCACAATATGAACTTGGGAGTAACATTCAAACCATAGTAACAGTGTGAAATAATTTTCACTTTTTTTAAATCATCGATTTTTTTTTTTGCACTGCTCACACCTAGCTTTCATTTCTCATAACTTTTTCACCCAAAAGTCCCTATCAAATATGATGGGGCAGAAGTGAGGAATACGAAAAGATTTTCTTTTCATTTATTTTATGTTGGCTTAATGACCATAATCACTATCAACTAAACTCAACGCATAACACTTTGTGTATTACATAAACACAATGAAGACGTGACCCTCTGGGACCCAATATTTCCAAATATGACCAAATACTTAGTGATTGACCCAGGCTGGTTGACAGTTCTTCTACTTGTTAATTCAATTACAGATGTAATAATACCCATTGTTACCAAAGAAATATAAAAAAGCTGCATGTCTCTCTACAATTCGGCATGGCTGTTGAACATACAGACATATAAATAGAACTTTCCCTGTATGTATGTGTCCTTATTGCTGATGTTTGCTTCCTTTTTATGAAATGACAGCAATTATATTGTATACATTGTCCTACAACTTGCTTTTGTACTTAATCTATATCATTCTGTGTCAGAACCTGCAAATCTAATTCATTCTTACAAATGTCCCCATAACTTCGTTTTCTAACCAGTGAGTATTCAAACGGTTTCCAGACAGGCATGGTGGTGCATTTCTGTAATCACAGCACTCAGGAGGCCAAGACAGGAGGACCATGAGGTTGAGTCTAGCCTGGACTATATAGCAAGACCCTAACTCAAATCTAAAAAAAGAAAAGAGAGAGAGAGAGAAAAGGGCCAAGTCTGTGGCTCAAGTGGTAGTGCCTGCCTAGCACTGAGTTCAAACCCCAGTATCGTGGGGAAAAAATAGGAGGGGGAGTTTCCAGTTTGTTGTTCCACAACAAAGATTTTTGTTGATTCATAAATATTACAAAATGTTTGGTTGTGCAACTAAAATACCATTGCTTCTCTTTATTTACTTATTCTTGATATTATATGTTTAAATCAGCTTTAGCAATTGACACTCTACCAACAACATATGAGCCTAATACCTTGAACTCTGGCCAGCATTAGATGTTATCATTATTTGCATTTCAGCCAATCTATGTACAAGAAATAAATGACAGACCCATGTTCTCTTTGCATTTTTCTGTCTTCATCTTTTGTCATTTTCATTTCTTCTAAGGCTTGTCATTTTTCTATTGGGTTGTTTCTCTCTCTCTTTCTTTCTCTCTCTCTCTTTCTCTCTCTCTCTCTCTCTCTCACTCTCTTTCACTAGTCAATTTTAACAAATGTTCAAATCTAACATAGACTGTTAACTGCAAACTCAGGAAAGCTAATCATATTTGCTCAGTTTCATAGTCTCACAACCAAAAACAGTGTGTTACATATATGTCTATAATACATAGTGAATGAATAAGTATGGAGTATAAATCCACTGTCATATGTTAGAAATATTTTCTCCTAGTCTATCAACTTGTTTATGTGACCTCTAGTTACACAATGATTTTGTTGGTGGTGATGTTGTTTTAAGGAAACCACTATATCTTCTTTTCTAGGGCTTAAGGGTTTATACTTTTAATTAAGAAAGTTTATCATAATGTAATTAAAGTATCTATCAAAATTTTCTTTAGCATTTTAGAAGGCTTCTTTTGCAAATACTTGACTATTTTGTTTTGTTGGTAGTACTGGAGTTTGAACTCACAGCCTCACACTTGCTAAGCAGATGCTCTACCACTTAAGCCATGCGCCTAAGCCCTTTTTTGCTTTAGTTATTTTTTTCAGATAGGCTCTCCCATTTTTTCCTGGGGCTGGCCTCAGACTTCTTCTACATAGATGGGATTACAGATGTGTAACACCATGCCTAGATCCTTTGTTGAGATGGTGTCTCACTAACATTTTGCCCCAGCTGGCCTAGAACCACAATTCTTCCAATCTACACCTCCCAAATAGCTGGAATTGTAGACATGAGTCTAATACCCTGCCTAACATTTGAATCTTTAACTAGAATTGTTTTCCTGGTATGAAAGAGGGAATCTTTAACTTTGTCTTCTTCTAAATGGAGAACTAATGTCATTCTTTTCTAACTGAATTGAAATACTATTAAATTACCTTACATATAATCTTTCTTCATTCTGTTTCTAATAATGGTTTTTCTATCCCATTGAGCTACTGTCTATTTCCGTGTAATACTATGCTACTGTGATTACCATTAATACTATGTTTAGATCTTGGTAGAACAAGACCCCCTGTGGTTTGCTTTATTTTTTGCTCAGTTCTTGCACTTTTACTCTGCTCTATGAATTTTTAACTCACTGTATTCCCACATTGGAAAAAAAATAAAAAGGCCAGTCTGGGCCAGTCTGGGGATGTAGGTCAGTGACAGAACATGCTATAAGGACCTGGGTTCAATCCCCAGCACCAAATAAATAACCCAATAGCATTTTGATTGGATTTTTCTTTCTTTTTTTTTTTTTTGGGATCTAGTTACGAAGCCCAAGCTGCCCTGGAACTCATGATCTTCCTTTCTGTCCCAGTCTCCAGGAGAAGGATCTGATTGACCCTAACTATTCCATTGATAGCCAGCTTTCATTTCATATTAGAAAATTTCTAACAAGACATACTTATTAAAGACTTACATTTCTTTTCTTTATAATTTTGAATTCACTTATTTTGATTTTGAATGGCATTTACCATTACGGATTACACTCAGTTAATCCACTAAACACTTCAGATGTTCAAAGTCTAGAGAGGACCTTGACCTCTACTCCTACTTATTTCGAAATATAATCAAGTGGTTATTTGGCTATGCTCAAAAACAAAAAGAATTAGTAGGCATTGTGGTACAAGCCTATAATCTCACCTACTTGGGAGGTGAGGCAAGAGGATCCCAAGTTTAAGGCCAGCCTGTACAAAGTTAGTGAGACCCTATCTGAAAGCAAAATACATACAAAAGGACTGGGAACATGGTTCATGTGGTAGAGTGGTCATGTGTGCAAGGTCCTAGGTTCAATCCCTAATG